ATCTCTGTCTGATGTAGTTTGGTTCCTTGTTTCAGGTCTTCATGCACAGATTTGGCTTTCTGACAGGTAAGGCAAAGTGGGGCCTGGGCCGTGCTGAATGCTCCTACAGACCATGGAAGCAGTAAATAATGCACTGCCATGAATCACTGTGGCTTCATTGAAACTAATAAACCTGTCTTCCACTCAGATCTGGGAGAGCGCTTCACACAGAGGAGGCCTCCAAGTCAGGCAGGGAGCATATGAGACAGAAAGTTGATCTTGTGGTATGCAGCAAATGTAAATATCTAGTTTCAAAATAGGAAAGAAATGACACAATGTGTAATGCCATAAAAAACATACGTCATCTCACAGTATATTACTCAAATGGCACAGATCTTAATAGTGACATGTATTTTGATTGCTATTTTACACTTCTTTTGTGACTGCGCATTAGATTTACAGGAATGAGAAGAAACGCAAACAGCACGTTGCTTAATTAGAAAATTTCTATGAAAATACAAGAAATCTATTTATGTCTGTTTCTGTCCTCTCCTGTGATTTCAGTTTTCTGGTCAAGATTTTGAATTTTGAAATTTGCTCAGTATTATGTCTTCCAGTGGAAAAGAAAGCGGAATTAGCATCCTCAGTCTCCTTTTTCTCAGTGATCATCTTCCCTTCCCCAGATGTGTGCTGTTGCCATTTGGCCAGCCTCCCTTTCTCCTCTCCCCACTGCATTCCTGACAGCACAGTGGCTTACTTGGTGATTGCTTTCTTCCTTGATCCTGGTAAAGCACAGTGATTAAGAAACCTCCCTGAGATGGGAATGCAATGGTTTCAGTGCATTAAGAAAGGCTCTACTACTGGGTGTAGTAGATCAGCACCCTTCAGGATGTGGGCAGAATGTAGGGGCCTGACAAAATCTAGACTGCAACAGAACCAATGATAGCCCCAGTTGGCTCCCCAGACTTTGGGGACAGAGTGTTGTTTTCACAATATGGGCAGCCACTGCAGGACCTTGCAGGATGATCACTGCACACTGACATGGAGACATGTAGAAGTTCAGGCGATTAGATTCTGGATCGTTCTCACATACTTGAGGAAAATTTATGTACTCAAAGTCTTTTAAGCTTTTAATATTAGAAATATAACACGCGAAGCAGTGTATAGCACCTGAATAAGCTCTGGAAGAATATATTTGTGTGTCACAGATGATGAGAAGCAGACTTGGAAGGTGGATGTGATGTCAGGGGACTGCTCTTGCAGTTAACATAAGCTTACAAGAAAAAACACATGTTCAGTTCTTAAGAGGGGTGGCCTGTCTTGACAGTGGTCTGTCCAACTGGTGGAACAAAGCAGAATTTAATTGTAATTGGAGAAATGATCTTCAGGAAGGCAAGAAGAGATGAGCTGGTGCTCAAGTGATGTTTAAGAGTCAAAAAACTTCTCTAATCATTCCAGTTATAACTACTGTCTACAGCCATTTCTGAGTACTCTTACTAAGAAGTTTAAAACACGTATATCTGGGATGGTTTAAACACAGAATGAAGACAGAAGATTTGCTGGGAGGGATTGTTGATTCAGCCACTTGCAAACTCAGCCTTTTCTATGGAGGACGAACAAAGTTGTGCAGAGGTCTGATGCTCCTCTCTGCCAACCTTTACCTGGGATACTGATTCAAAACGCTTGGATGTGTGCAGGGAGAAAAAGAAGGAAATATTTTCATAGAATTATAGAATCAAAGACAAAAAGACATTCCTTGCTCTGTACATAGGAATGATGTAGGATCTAGTATCGACAAAAGCATGAGTCACATATTCTACATGCAGTACGGAGCTTATAAGTGGGCAGTGAAGTACAGTTGCTGGAGCGTGAGTCATCAGCTTCATGTGAGTGGGCAGTCAAATCCTGCATAAACTGATTTTTCAGAGATATTTTTAAGAGTATTTTGTAGTATAGTACATGGCAGGCATGGCCAACTCACAGCCTGCATGCAGCCCAGCACAGCTTGCAATGCAGCGTGCTCCTGCCCCATGCCATTGTGGAGGCAGCATGCATATACCAGCAATGATCAAACACTGGTGTGCTACTAATCCTACCTGGGCTGCAACCAGGACAAGGAGAGGGAAGAGTGCAGTGCTAACTCAAGTTATGGAAAATAATTTTATGCATTTTGATTCACTGGCTAAACACAGTCCTGTGAACAGCAACAAATATACAGCCTTGCTTTCCATTGTAATAAAAGAATTTGAGAACCAGCTTGAAGATTGAAAAAAATAAAATAAAAACTGTTTTTTTGGTCTATTTGTCACTTCATTTTCTGTTGGAATAAATACATGATCTGCAAATTTTCAAGTGGAATTTATAGAGTTGCTATCAGACATTCAGCTCAGAAATCTGATCAAGTTTCCCTAAGGGGCTTTCAAAAGACCTAACTTAACAGAGAGAAATATTCCTTACTTCACAGTCACACTTTATTCATGCCAGTATTCCATTACATTTTGTGGCTGTGTGACAGATGGCAGCAGAGGGGCAGTCTCATAGAATGGCATGAAAGAACATATGAAGCAAAGGTGTGTCACTGAATTCCTCCATGCAGAAAATACGGCACCCACTGACATTCATCAGTGTTTGCTGAATGTTTATGGAGACCAAACAGTGAATGTGAGCACAATCAGGCAGTGAGTGGTGCGTTTCAGCACTGGCAACAGCAGGTCACCTCCTCACCTCCACCGGTTCCAGGCTTTATGAGGACAGCATACAGGCTTCTGTTCATTGCTCACGAAAATGCAGAGCTAATGGTGATGACTATGTTGAAAAAGATGTTTTATAGCTGAGAATTTACTCTATCGGTGTTACTGTGTTTATTGTATCTGCTGCAGTTTCCATGGAAACGAATAAGAGGCATTACTTTTGGAGTAACCTACATATATGCAGCCCAAGACAATTCCTCTTCACTCAGTGCGGCCTGGACAAGCTAAAAGGTTGGATAATCATGGTCTATGGCACAAGCAAATTTTTATTTTGGTTTTATTTGCACTTGCTGTGGCATGTACTTTAGTCAAGGCCCCATATTATTAGGCATGAAACATCCTACAAGTTTTATTTTCTGTCATTCTGGCTTTGATATACTTGTCTAGGAAAGCTGCATCACCTTGTTCTCTGTAAGCATCCTCCATGTCTTTTACATTCTAGTAGAAAGATGGAAGTGAATGGAAATAGAAAACGATACATAAGCTGAAGTGTTTCTTCTGTGGTCAGATCTGCTTTGGCATCAAACTGTGGTTCTGGTGAGTTTTAAATTTCACCAAATTTGTGAAAAGTACGCATTTTCCTTTTCACTAACTTAGCGTCATTTGATGGTGGTTGGTGACCCTGCACATAGCAGGGAGGTTGAAACTTGATGATCATTGTGGTTCTTTTCAACCCAGGCCATTCTATGCTTCTATCATTATACGTGGATCATAAGGAAGAGACAACATGGCCACATACCCAGTTTAAAGAGGTAGATAACCAGCTCAAGCTGGACAGGATGAAACTCTTTGGGCTGCTACTCAGACTTAACATCCCCTAAAGAAAAAGCCTTGCTGCTGATGTCTCAAAGAGCAGCCTGAGCAGCTTGATGCTTGCTATAGAGATGAAGTTCTCACGGTGAGAAGGTTGCATTTAAAAGCTGCTAGAAACAAAGATTTTTTTCAAGTTTTAGTGTAAAAATTAGTGCCTAAAGCAACCATCATATAACAAAAAACTAGGCCAAACCAAAACATGAAGACCACCACAGAAAGCACACTGGTTGCAAGGAGCAGTCATAACCTGAAACATTCTGGATGTAGAGCTGCCGTGGGTACTCCTCCCTGGGGCTGGATTACGCCCCATCCCTGTAAGTGCTGAAAGTGCTGAAAGCCAGGGTGGATGGGGTGCTGGGCAACACTGGCTAGTGGGAAGTGTCCCTATCCATGGCAGGTTGGAATCAGATCACAGAATCACAGCGCTGTAGGAATTGGAAGGGACCTCTGAGGATTGCTGAGTCCAACTCCCTGCTAAAGCAGGTTCCCTAGTGTAGGTCAGACAGTAAAGTGTCCACAACTTCCCTGGGCAGCCTGAGCCAGTGTGCTGTCAACCTCACAAGAAAGATTCTTCTCATGTTTGTACAGAACTTTCTATGCTCTAGTTCTATTACATTCCTACACATTGCCCCTTGCTCTGTCACTGGGCACCACTGAAAAGAGCCCAGCCCTATCTACCTGACTCCTGCCCTTAGATATTTATAAGCATTGATAAGATCCCCTTTCAGTCTTCTCTTCTCCGGACTCAAGAGCCCTGGGTCTCTCAGCCTTTCCATGCATGGGAGATGCTGCAGGCCCTTAAATCTGTTTGCGGCCCTCCTCTGGACTCTCTTAAGGACATCCCTGTCTTTCTTGAACTGGAGAGCCCAGAACTGGACACAGTATTTTGTGTTGCTTCAGCAGAGCAGAGTGGAAGGGGAGGATCACCTCCCTCATCCTGCTGGCCACACTTAATGCATAGTTGGCTATCATTGGCCTTCTGGTCCCAA